CAGAGAAAACTTGAATAAACAAACATGTGCCACAGATTAGTAAGAACATCTGTAGGTTTTATATTGTTTTGAGAACACATACCACATAGTTTTTCATTTCTGATGCTTTTCTAGTTTCTCCCCTTCTTTCTGTCTCTCTCTTTTCCTCTTCTTTTTAAATATATTGCTAATAAAGGTTGGAGGTAGAAAGCACAGCTGGATTATGCATGACATGCCACTGTTTAATTTCTAGCTCGGAGGATGAGAAGAAGAGTAGTTTTATTGTATCCTAGAAGAGAATAAAGCCACATACAAATTCCAGCCATGGACATCTGTTTCCTCTTTGTGTGAAAGAATTCTCATATTTGGAAGGGAATCCCAGTTCTGAGGAGGCTGATGAGGTTGGTTTTTTTTTTTTTTCCTTTTGGTTCTTCCCCCCTTCTTTGCCACTCCTTCAGCATGTTCTCTTTGCTCCCTGGCTGCTGTGTTTCCTTCAGGACAATGCCAGCTTGCAATTTAGCATCAGATATTGAACGGGTGAATTTTCAGTTACTTTAAAATGTTGTGTTGTAGTTGCGAAGAGTATTACTCCTCCTTAAATGTCTTTTATTCAATTAAACAGTATTTGGTGGGAGTACTTTTTCTCTCTCATCAATCTTCAGTCCTTGCAGGTTGGTATTTTTTTTAGAAGTGAGATGTGTGTGTCTGTTGCTCTGGCCATGAGGTGCAACTATTTCTAGAAGTAACTTATTAAAAATAATTTTTAAAATCCTTCTGTATCAGGAGAATTAAGTAGATCTGTAGAAATAAGAATCTGCAATGTTCATTACATTGTTAGGCATCAGGTGCTATGGACTACAGGGACCAGAGTAAATGATAATTTCACTAACCTATAAAACATTTTGGCATAATGATTTACAGCTGTCTGGGGGCTTTAAACTTCTTTTTTTTTTTTGGTGTAAGAGTTGATTCTGTTGAACAAACAGCACAGTTATATAACATTAGGCCAGACATGAGAACTGGTACTCTCTGTCTATTTTATATTAATGTCGAATGAGAGGTTGGCGGAGCTCGCCAGGGTTTCATATTTGCTGGCAGAAAGTTACCCACATGTGTGGACCACATTTTTATTGTTGCCTTAGCCTATTTCAGGCATAAATATTGCTGCCTGGCAGGGTGTGATTCTGTTCATTGCTGAAGAGCTTTTCTTTTAAAAAGCAAAATATGAAAACGAATGAAATGCTGTAAATGTTCAAATTAAGAAGTGTCCCCAGACTGCGAGATTTTGTCACGTCTGTCGTGCTAGAGGAATAAAGGGTAATAAAGCCATCTAAAGGCTTTTTCATTGTTGGATGCGTTACCCTTGTAGAGCTGTTTCTTTTTGCATATATTAATACTACTTCTGGGCGTGGGCTGTTTGGTCTCTTAGGGAAACGAGGCTTATGCAAACAGGGTGTATGCACACACGAACACACAGCAGCCTGTGCAGCCCTTGGACGTGTTGGCCATGGAAATGTGGCGGAAAGGCAGAGGCTGCAAAGAAAACTAGGAGTTCTATAGGTTTCTTGTAAATATGTGTGTGAGGGCTTTCAACACGGGCTGTGGAATAGATGTCGAGATGGAATGTGATGGAAGTCCCTGTCGTGGGAAGATCGCTGAACCCAGCTTGGAAATTATTTGGCTTCAGAGAATCTTATGACAAAAAACAAATCCACAGGAAGCCAGAGTCCCTTTCATTCCAGTACCCATGAAAGCGCTTGCGTGGGTTTTGGTTTTAAGTCAGGATGTTGTCAAACAGGCTCCAATGGATGACTGTAAGAAATGGGGGACATCTTGCTAAGGTCTTAGTGCAGGTGAAGGTGCTGCTTTGCTTGTTTTTGTTGGTGGTGCTTCCTAGTTTGTTTGCTTTTTGTAAGTTTTCCAAGTCTATTAAAATGTGACTTAGGAATATTTAGGCCCTTATCCTGTGGGTGTCTTAGAGAGGAGGGAGCCCAGCCCCTGTGCAGATCCCGCTGACATACATCCGAAATCTTCCCAGGCATTTTGGTAGCCTGCGCATTGCAGCATCTCGTGGGGAGCACGGGGAAAAGTGAAACCGATAATTCCCATCCAGTTCTGGTCCCCGCTGAGCGGGACACGGAAAGCAAACACCAGTAACGCCGAAAATCAAACAGCAGTTGTGAACAAATTTCCTCTTTGATTGAAATGCTTCTAGCTAGGAGATAAAAAGGGGTTTATGTCAAAAGCTTCCCTTGTTGTCTTACTAACAGCTGCATAATTTTACCACTCATTCACGCATATAAAAAAGCAAAACTTGGAGACTGTATTTGAAAGCTTGTTTTGTTCAGTGTACAGCTGGATGCAGAGCGTTTCCTTTTCTCTCTTTTAACAAATTTGAAGCAAATGGAGTGGGTATTGTTTCTTTTTTTTCATATTTTTTGGCCTAGATAATAGAAGATTATGTTGCTTTTCATTTTATGTTGCAAAGAAATCATGCCATATAACTCCAATTCAACAGTGATGCAGCAGCATGTGGAGATATATATATCTTCTCATAAATATATTACCACACATTACTGTCAAATAGCTGGACTTTTTCACCCAGTATTAAAAATAAAATTTAATTGCTCCATTAGAGTTTCAAGGCCGTGATGAATAAGAGCCATGTCTGACCTTTATTGTGGGGCTCCGAGATGCCACCAGGGATATTGCTCATTGCTCAAGATGACAAGCGTCCTCTGAGATTTCAGTTTGTCAGCTCAATGTACAGCAGTGACATTGATTTCTTCTCACTGCCATTTCCTGCCTGAATAGATAACAAATTTTCTGTGGCAGGTGTCTGTCAAGCTTAGTTTTGCCTGGCAGATTAACTTAATAGACTCATTTATTAATCATTAGTTGCAACACAGTGAAGCAGACAATACGCTTTAACTCTCGTGATGTTGAATGGACATACCATTTCAGATTCCTTCGTGTAGCTTGAATTTGGATTTAATAAGCCATTCGTATCTCTGTAGTGGATGTTTTTAACCTGACATTATTCACATTACAAAGAGCAAAGATTTATGTATTAGTTAAGTGTGACCCATTTTGAGTCTGTACTACTTTTCATGGCAAAAGGCGCGTAAGTGCTTTCTGAGACTACTAAAATGATGTACAAACTACAAAATCTACCTACATAAGGGGGAAAACTAATCCAAGATGCATCATACCTGGGGAAGGAAGATAATAGTAGGAGAAAAAAATAGATACTTGGAAGATTTGAAACTGGGGCTGACTGGCTGTTGAAGTGGAGGGGATAACTGCAGTAGCATTTAGGAAGGGGCAAAGTAGACCTGCAGATACAGCTGTAGGGCAATTCTGGCACAGGCTAGTATTTTCATAGGGACTCCTTCCTCTGAGATGTCTTGAGATAGATACCTGGGCTGGAGATAGCAAAGGCAGGGTTGGTACCAGAGGAGGATATTTGACAGGGCTTGTTAGAACGGTGACGGAGGAGGAAGAGCCCAGAATAACTTAGTGGAGAGATTGGAGGAGGAAGAAACTATAAGGGAAGGCATAACCTTGGAAAGTGATGTCCCTTGTTGCAAAGAATCACTCTGTTCATGGTGAAAAGTGACTTATGTTAGTGTTAGCCTCTAACTTATGTTAGAAAAGTGTTAGCCCTGCACAGCCTATAGGGCTGACAGAAATATATGTTTGCTTTTTTCCCTGTGTATTAAGAGAGTTGGTCACAAGGCGTTTATCAGGGCAAAATCTGTAAAGGAGCTGGAAATGCACAGGCACTGCTGAGGACACACAGCAGCAGGA